AAACACACACACACACACACACACACACAAACACACAAACACACACACACACACACACACGCACACACACACACCCACACGCACACGCCCACGCGCACGCGCACGCGCACGCGCACGCGCACACGCCCACGCGCACGCGCACGCGCACGCACGCGCGCGAACGCGCACACGCACACGCACACGCACACGCGCACACGCACACGCACACGCGCGCACGCGCGCACGCGCGCACGCGCACACGCGCACACGCGCACACGCGCACACGCGCACACGCGCACACGCGCACACGCGCACACGCGCACACGCACACACACGCACACATGCACACACGCACACACGCACACACGCACACACGCACACACACGCACACACACGCGCACACGCACACACGCGCACACGCACACGCACACGCACGCAGACGCGCACGCGCACGCGCACGCACACGCCCACGCGCATTTGCACGCGCACGCGCACGCACACGCCCACGCACATGCACATGCACACGCACACGCACACTCACACGCACACACGCACCAGTGACACACATCGAGTGGGGGTCACCAGCAGCCTTCGGCAGACATATCTTCCTGGTGACCGCACGAAAAGCTTAGCGCAACACGTTCAAATAACCGAGTGCCACTGAAAAACGTGACACTGTATTGAGAGCCCTCTGGCAGGTTGAGACCCTCATGGCAGATGTCAGCAAAATGCAGAAAGACATCAGCAGCCTCTTGGGCGCAAATTTGTATGGGTGATCGGAGCCTTCCTAGCAACATGCCAGCGTTAGCCTTCAAACTGCAGACACGCTTGGAGTTTCCTGAAGCTTCCCAATGCGTTGATAAGGCGTCCAGGCGGGGCAAGCCACAGTGCTGAGCAGCGACAAGCTTGATCAGCGCCTCGGCCCGCACACATATCTCGTCAGAGGCAAATTGCAGTCCGGCCCATCTCGGTCAATTTGTATTAACCATCCTTTAATGTAAGGTTGGCCTGTATGTGTGTGTGTTGGTTCCACTACGGTGGTGAGGTGCACAGGCATGGCAATCGACGAGCTTGGTAGCAACCTAATGCTTCAAAAGGCTTCAATACCCGACTCTTGTACAGAGCTAAAGAAACCATAGCCATCCCCCTCGTAGAAGTCGGAGCTTCTCACAGGAGAGGAAAAGTGAGACATGGGCCAAAGCTGAGGTTCGGCCGGAAGTTGGACGGCTGCCTCACAGAGATTATGAGTCAGCTGCAGCTGCCGCACGCAGCGGGTGCCGGGCTGAATTAGTATGCGGGCCATGGTTTGGTTGCCCTGCCGCAGGAATGGTAAGATGGTGAGTGAATTCCTTGCCAATGGGGTGCTGTCCGGCGCGATCAAGCCAGACAGAGGCAGCCCAAGACATGAACAGCAAATACTGAGCCATTTTGGCATCGGGCCAAACCAACATCGACGGAATTTGCACGTGGTCGTGTTTTGGGCGTGTTAAAGGTTTGGTGTTGCCCGGAGCCATGGCTGACTGGGCGCTATGGGAGCGGCTGGAGGATGTTGTGCGGGCAGACAGGTACATGTCAGCCAACGAGGATTTCAATGCCTTGAAGGCGGCAGTGCTGAAGGCCAGCCTCAGTGAGCTGAGCGCCCAGTCTGGGCATGCCATCTTGGGCTGGGAGTTCCTGCTGAGCTTTGCCAAGAAGAAGACCTTCTACCGGTCCCACGTTTGCCAAGTGGTGAATGCGCTGCTGGCAGACACGAAGTGGAAGCATGCCTTTGCCAGCAGCGAGGCCCTTCGTGCCAAGGCACAGGAACTGCACCCCGACGTGCGTGCGGCTCTGGAGGCGGTGGATGCAGCGCCCGCCGTGCCGGCAAAGGCACCGCCACCGGAGAAGATCAAGGTGTCGGGCAAAGAAGTGAACTGGCCAGACTGGGACACGCTGGAGGCCGTTGTGCAGATGAAGGGATTCAAAGGCGCCAATGACGAGTTCTCCTGCCTGCGGTTAGCCGTGCTTGCAGCCGACCCGGTACAGTTGGCAAGTCAGGTGGCCCATGCCCCCACGGTGTGGCGCTTCGTGGTAGGCTTTGGCGAAAAGAAGTCACATTACCGGTCACAACTTGCAGAGGTGGCCGGGATCCTGCGGCAGGAGTCGGGCTGGGAGGCGAGCCTGGAGTCACTGCGCGGAGAGCTCCTGGAAAGCCTGGGGGCCTTGCCTGACATTCTGCAGACGGCCCTGGACACGGACAAGGCGACAGCAGAAGCAGCGTCAGCTAGTGCGAGCTTTCAGATGACGGTGGACGAAGAGACCGCTGCTCCGAGTGCTCCATACGCGGCCCCTGACTTTGAGTCTCTGCAGGACAGGCTGAAGTCCATGATGGGCTATGTGGAGGGCCTGGCGGGCGCTCAGCCGGACATCGGCACCGGCGCAGACCAGGAAAGTTGGGCAGAAAACTTTGGGTCCAACCCGCAACTTCCCTGGAGCTTGATGACATGCATGCCTTCCGACTCTTCATGAAACATTGCACAGTGTTGTGCCATAGCTTTTCACAGAAGACGTGACGTGTGCAGTTGCATTTCCAAATTTGAATTTGTGGGCAAGGCCAAATCTGCAGAGCCATGGGCAATGCTCGCACAAATGGATTCCGAATTCAAGCAACTGCACAAGAAACTCGCCCCCTCCCCAGCCTTGAGCCGCCAAGAGGTTTCCAATCAAATTTTCATACTGGGGTTTGCAGACGGCGATCTTGTTTGAGCATGGATTCGTTTGTCCAGCGTGTTGTCGGCTTGCTGGCCTCCCCCACCTGCGAAGGACGTGCCGGCTGCTCCCGAAGTGATGGCGGCAGATGCGACTAATGCAGCAGATGATGACAAGAACAGGGAAGAGGAGATTTCAAAGTTGTTAGGATCGACAACGGGCGAGGAGAGAAGTGTGTCGAAACCGGCACCCCAAGAACCTTCCGGCCTTGGCATTGAGGCATTCTCTTCCATGCAGGGTCGCATTACAGCGACTTTGCAGCAGGCAGATTTGCTGGAGGGCAAGGACCCAGTGATTTCACATTATCTCCGTGTAGTTGCTTTGGACAGACTGGTCCATGCGAGGCAGTCCGGCCAGTCCAACGCAGAGATGGAATCGATGCTTTTTGCCACGCTGACCAAGGCTGAGAGTGCCAAAGGCACACTGCACTTGGCAGACGGCCCACAGCATATGCAGAGGTTCTCCTTACAAAGCTACAAGGCTGCCGTTGCAGCTGATGATTGGCAGGATCTCACAGCCGCATGTCTTTTAGTGGATGCGCTCGCCCAGTTCCACCCTGAGATGCCGAAAGAGCTTGAGGGCAGGTCGTCTTATGCCAAGTTGCGCGCTGAAGAGTTGCACAGCTGCCAGATGTCGGGCAAGCGCCCTACGCCAGCAAACCCGCCAGCCTTGCCAGTGCCCGCTCTGCCTGCAGTCGCTCCAGTTTCTCCAGTCCCTCCGGCCGCGCCAGCCGCTCCAGCCGCTCCTGCTGCACCAGCGGCCCCAGCTGCACCGCCCACACCGCCAGTGCCACCAGCGCAGCCATCTGCACCACAGCCACCAGCCACTCCAGTGCAGCCAGCCGCTCCAGTCACTCCAGTACAGCCAGTCACTCCAGTGCAGCCAGTGACTCCAGTGCAGCCAGCTGCGCCAGCGGTGCAGCCGGTGCAACCAGTTCATCCGACCACCCCGGCAACAGCTCCAGCACCAGCGCAGCCACCCGCAGCAGTGGACGGCCCTGTGTCAGCTGAGGTCGCAGCAATGCCGCGGTCGAAGCGGCAGGCAGAAGCCAGAAAGAAGACGGACAGCGCCATCAGCGCTCTGAACTCCGGCAGTGATGAGCATGCAAGAGCCTTGATCAGGGAGGCACTTGGTCTCCTTGCTGGCTTGTCTTAGCTTCTGCCAAAGACACTTGAGGGCCGCATCTTCGTGGTGCTTTTCGGAAAGCGCACGAAAAAAGAAACGGCAGTGCGCTGCTAGCTGGGAAATCAAGCAGCTCTTGTTCGGAGGCCAAACATCATTCATTGTTTAGCAGGTCAATCTGTCCGTCCTGAGCGAGTGTGCAGACAAAAAGCCAAAACAGTTTTCACAGGCCCATCATGGCCCATCATTTGAAGGCTTCCCCCCAAACCCACAACCAACCACAACTCGGTTCAAGCAAGGATATCAGGATATCTTTCGAAGTCCCCCACGTGTCCTCGTTCCGCTGCAACGGCCCATGCCCCGCTGGAATCAGACAGCCAGTGTTGGTACGGTTCCTGTTACGAAGACTGGGAGACGGTACACGCCCACATTGCCATTTCCGGCCACGCCAGCCAGCTGAACGCTTTCAGCCCCAAAGCAATTAGCTCGTCCGAAAATGATCTATCGTGGGCTACCGGGCAAACCAGATCGAAGCTGCGGACATGCCACGACTAGGAAGGCCTTGAAGGCGCAACATCTGAGGCCAACGCGACCCCACAGCCTTGCCTGTGCGGCCTTTGCCGCTGGGCGAGGGGTTGCCCGTGTTGCCCCACGCCAGCCTTCCGCGGAGCAGCTCGGCACTTTAGCTCCCGAAAACAGCGTCGGGAGGGCTGCTGTTGAGGTTCCGTTTTTTTATTCTTCTTTTTTCTTCCTTTTTTCTTCTCCTTTTACTACCTAATAAGACAAGTATAATGGATCAGTTCCATATTTTTCTTGCTAGTAAGTTACAGTGTAGTACGAATTATTGTCATCAATGACACCATGAAGCCACGTGATTTTTCTCAATAGTTTCATGAATAATGAACAACAAACATGTCCAACTCAGTATGCACCATAAAAGCAAATATGCTATCAATATGTTTCACAATATCTTCAGCGTGCACTTTGACCAATAATTCTGACCGCAACTTTTCAGATAATTCACCCAATAAACAATCATGTAGCAAATCGTTATCCATTCCGTCCACATTTTTATCCATGCCTGCCATAGTCTCCTCCAAAACCACGCACTTTGTTTGCCCATTTCGTGAGCACGTCCACAAATTGACCATGTGGCTGCGTGCGCACTGGAGCCAACACACTCTCCAGCTGTCATTTCAACCAAAACTGGGAGAAGTCCGCTCGCCGAGTATTTTCTCTAAAACTCACGTGGGCAAATTGCATTGTGGGCGCTTGCTCACGCTTGTGCACGCAGGTACTGCGTGGGGCCTGTAATTGCAAGTGGCCTGCAAGGGTCATAGCTTGGCTTGACATCGCACGAGCCAGGCCGCTCTGTGGAGCTGATCGGCACTGGCGTGGAGGATGCCGTGAGAAGCGATGTGCGAGGGCCAGGTCCATTCCTAACAGATCCATCCGCCGGGACAAGGCCGGGTTAGTGACCCTATGCATGGCCGAATTTGGGATGTGTGGCAGGATCTCAGATATCCTCCCCAGATCGCCAGCGTCAGATGATACGTGCGGCCTGGAGGACACAAGACTCAGCAGCGTCAACCAGTGTTTCTTCAGTCCTAGCTTGGCAAGCCCAGAAGGGGCGCTTCGACAATGCTTCAGCCGGAGTGTGGCCTAATGTTGTCAGTCCTTTGACACTGGGCCAATGGCAGGAGCTGGACACGCAGGAGCTCTCGCTGCTTGACTGGTACCGGGGGGCATTGATGCTTTCCAGCTCATATCGTTTCCAACGCCGGGGCACCAGAGCCACTGCTTTGTGACAACAGCTGGTTTGCCTGTGCTTGAATTGCGTCCTCCCAATAGTTAAAAAGACCAAGACCATCGTTTGTCAACATTGTGAGGGTTGCGATGCTAGTGCTCCAAGTGCCACCCACACAGGACAGACTTGATGCTTTGCCCTTGTTACGGTGGAAGCATGCCCAGCCCTCAAAAAGGCTTGAGCGGCGCGTAGAGCCGCTCTAAGGCCTGAAGAATACGTTTCTTGCGATGGAAATCATATCACGAGCCCCTGAGCTGGTTCTAGGGATGTCAGATGTGTGGGCTCCCTTGCTAATTTTGGTTTCATGGAGACCATAATTTTGAAAATGCAAAGCAGCTAGAATCGCTAGGCTCAGAACTGTGGATGCTGAGTCTGGGGGGAGGGACTGTTCTCAGGGAGTTGGGCAGCGGCGAGGCAGGAAGACGTGCCCTTTCTCAGGGGTGACTTTTGGGGCTGGCAAGATGGCAAGGCCAGTTTCCTCAGGCGCTTCAAGCGCTGCAACTCAGCCCCCAGAACTTGCAGTTGATTGCAAGATCTCGAGGGCGTCAAAAGGCTCAAGGGCCTTCTGAAACTAGGTGCATGCTGTGTTTTTTTGTTTGCTTCACTTTGTCAAGCTCTTTTTGTTCACCGACCGCAGACACATTCCGTGTCTAGCACGATCGGCAGCTGACGTTGGGTTGCTACCATGCGTGGACTTCAGCACGCGAAAGCAGATGGATTTGGCAGCTGCTTGATGGTTGTGTGAACTGCCTCAGACTTGATTGATTCAAGTGGCAAGTGAGCCACCCAGCCTGCTCCAAAGTTCATCCACAGCCAATTCCCCAGTGTTTGGCACACGACCTGATTACTGGCCAAAGTAAGGGCACGGAGCGGAACCAATGAATGAAGTCCTATCAAGTACACAACAGGAAAGAAATAGGAGATATGGATTCTTGAAAGCCTTACTTATTTTTTAGAAAAACAAAGAAAGGCAAGAAACAACAACCTGAGAGAGGCTGTAGTGTGCCACATGACTGAAGCGAAATGTACAAACGATTTCCCTCCCTATCGCATGGCATCATGACGAAAACAATGTACGACACAATCAGGCCTATGCTCCACGTAGCATTTCGCAAGAGCATCGCAGCGTACACACAAACGAGAAACGCCTCAATTCTAAAGTAAGTCCCGCAGCCTAAACCTGGGCACCAGGACCCAACCCAGAAGTAAAACCCTTCCACCCATCATCGAGCCTGAAGTTTGCAGCCTACCTTCGCAACCTGTCAAAGTAGCGTGTTCAATCAACTCTCCAGCAAGAGATGCGCTCTGCGAGTGGGTGAGTCATGAGCCGCATGTGTTCTTGACGCTTTGGATGCCGATATTCCAGAGACAGTGGTGCCAGGTGAAGCGTCAGACAGTTCTCCGCTGCTTGGGCATCGGCACTGTTGAGTACGAAGATGGCGATGGCCCTCATGAGGTGAAGCCAGAGCCGCTCCACTTCAAAATGGGTCAAATGGGTTCCATCCATGTTTGCAACCTGCGTGATTGAAACCTGATAGCAAGCAAACCTGAGGGTTCTGGTAGGGCGACCTAATAATTTCAATCAGGACGGTAGGTCCACATTGCTGCTCGTGCCACCTGCCGCTTTTGCATTTGCTCCTGCTGGCATGCAGACACGTGTCTTGCACCATGAAGCTCAGGTTCAGCACGAGAAGCGATGCGAAATCTGACAACAAGGCTTGGATGGGCATCCGGACATGGTCAGAACTTGCATCGCCTTGGAGGGAAAGTGTGTTTGATCAAAACCAGTACCGGGGGTTCTGACAGTAACAGTCACTAGCAGACCTTGCACACCTGCGGCAACTTTGGATACCCAGAAACTTTTGATGTTCTTTGCCTTTAAAACCAAGCATCCTTCAGCGAGGCCAGGAGATCGTGTCACGGTTGGGTACCTGATACGGAGCGAGCATTGAAACTGCCCCTGCTCTCTGACAGAACGGATCATCGGCGCCTACTCCGTTGCGTCTCTCGAAGGTGTCGGCAGCTTGGTGGCAACAGAGCCTAGCAAAAGGCAGCTTTGTGGTGCCCTTTGAAGAAAAAGCCCGGCAGTGGTATCCCAGTCCCTCAGAGCACCAGACACAAACCACCCGCCACCGAAAAGGAAACAAGGCCTCTTTTGTATGACTTCCAGTCCCAATTTGAACACTGGCAACGTCAAGGGGGGGACTAGGCTGATGTGCGTGACATCCAATGCCCAAGCACGTGATGATTGTCAAAGCTCCACTTGACAATCTGATCAACGCGTTGTTGTTCCTTCTGGGTGAGGTATTTTTCTTGTTCCTTCTGCAGCCAATGCGTATAGTGTCAAAAGGCTAGTTACACGTTTTGTGCAAGGTGCGGAGCCCTTGACCGAGGGTCGAAGCCCAGCAAAGGGAAAGAAGCCCATGGAAGCCTGAAATGAACCCTTTTTCGAGCCCTCGGTGCATTGCATGAATAAGTTCTAAGGACTCCATGATTGTGACTTGATGCCAGCCCTGCCGGCAGAATGCAAAGCCAATCCTATCCACTGGTGCCGCCTTGTGAGGCTGCCTCTGCGAAAGCGGCGCCCGTTCTGAAAACTTTCAGTCAGAAATTGGCGGAACGGCAGCGCAGCTTTCTTCCCAGGCGGGGTTGAAGTTCCGAGGGCCCTCACGTAGCGGGATGGCCAGGGCTCTGTAATCCTGACAGTGTTCTTTTTGTGCGTTTTTTTTTGACTTGTGGGCATTGGGTTGTTGACCCCCCCGTTCCACCTATGGAAGGAAGAACAACGCCTGCTTTCTGGAAAGCGCGTGTGATACATTTGTGAATGGCATCCCTCCCGCATTGCAGCACTGGCGATGAGAACACTCCTGGACTCAGATTCGAACCTTGGCTGCAGCTGAGGGGAGATAGGCGGCGAGATGCGCTGAACTTGGTGCAGTTCAGAAGTGGGAACATTGACGGAACGTGTCGGATCCATTGCTCTGGTAGTCTCGGTGTTGACAGAGCATGTATGCGGCAGCCATGGCGTGGAATTTGCCAGACGTAATTCCTCACGTTTTGGACAGGTGAGGACGAGAAAGAGGACGCGGGTGCAGAAGCTGGTCTGGACCCGGGCTTAGTCATTGCTGGCGGATATCAATCTCCATGTAAATGATGTCCATCAAGGCTAAGTTATCAATGATAAAGTAAAATCCCTCTTCTGGGTGTCTTAGACATTTGGGGATCA